CGGAGTCTCGTAGCATTAACCGGAGATTAACATTACCGCTATTTACACGGATACTACGCGAGCGCGGAGATAAACTGGAGATGATAGAAAGTTGGCGAGAAATTCGATAGAGAAATGCCACAAACATTTGAGCAATTTGGAAAACGGGGAGAAAATTTTACAAATTAATAGATATAATGTAACTTGGATTTTTACAATAATTTGGTTATATATAATAAAAGAAGAAATTTTTAACACTTTTATATACCTACTATATAGTAAAATATAGACGTTAAAAACGCTACACTTTGCGAATTTTGATAACATCTGTTTAACGAAATTAACAGTTGATTTAACATTATAATCTCTTCCCTCTTTTCGTTTAAAAAAAAAGTTCTGTTTTCTTTAAAGGATTTATGGAAGGTAGTTTGAGTTTTTGTTTGAATATTTGTAAGCGCAAGCAAAATTATGTTTTTTCCGTGACAAAATGATATAACGACGTTTATTGCAATATAGAGGTATAATAAAAGTGCCTGCAGCATTTGTCCGTTCTTCACTCTCAATGAGATTGTTTTGTGTCAATAAATTCCTCTTATCTTTCTTGTTAAACGAGAGCAATCTCTATCAAATCAAAGTTTTCCATGGTTATTTAGATACATTACATTTACAACATTAGATGTTGTTATTCTTTCATCAACGTCCAAAATGGATTTTACTTCTTTCTTTTCTGGAATTAAAATCAGTGTAATTCAAAGAAGTAAATCCATTGCATCCACGTGCAATAAAATATACGTTCGACAAATAAATGTATATACACACACATAAAGCAGAATTTTTATATTAAAAAAAAATCGTAATTTATTTTACTCTATTTTGTAACAAAAAAATCTATTTAAATAATTCAATTTACTCTTTTTTTCGAAAAAATACGTATTTTTCAATAAATGAAATATCCACGTGGCACATATACATATATTACATGAACCCACGTACATACGTATAATGCAATTGAACAAAAACATAACAAATTATTGAAATAATTTTAGCATTTAGCAAATAGCTGCGTATTTAATTATAGATGAAAGACAAATTGCTTATCAGTACATATAAAAAACATATACATACACACACCACATATATACATATATGCGCTAAATTAATAATATTATTCTATAAAAACACGCATATTTTTGGCAAATATGCAACGAAGACGGTTCATGGTATGTTGAGTATGTCTTCTGGAGTGGATATTCTAGTAGATTTCACGAAAATTTTGTTTGGGTAATTCAGTTTCGGTCGATGCAGAGTCTGAAATTGTCAGGGAGCTTGTAGATACCTCAAGACCCAGGAGAGAAGGATCTAGAGCTCGAAGCTTTCGAAGAAAAGTACGATAGACATCCTTTTGTCTCCTCTTGTCAAGTTTCATCTACAGTTTACCTACCGCGATTGTTCCAGCATAGCAAACGCTAGAAGCATGATAACAAGGTTGCGCACAAAATGGGACAAGGGAATAATTTTATTTCTCGCGAGAAATTTAATATATATTATGTTTTTTTATAAATTAGTATATAATGAGGTGTACTGAAAAAGAAATTATTTAACCCTTTCAACCAAATATTATTTTGTGTATTAAATATATAAAAATATGTTAATTAAATGTTCATTAAATCTAACAACGTATATATTTAATTTAAATATTAATATATGTTCAATTAACAAAATAGTAATTTAGTTGAAAGATTTAGTCAAGTTAAATTTTTTTTCACACAGTGAACAGATATAGATATCAGATAGGTATACCGATAATGAGAGAAATATCGCATATACTCTCGAGAATTCAAAAATTATCGGAGATAATTATTATATAAGCCATTTATTCGTAATTATTGATTATCGTTATTATGAAAATTAATAATGATTTGTGTTTTCTTTTAATTACGTAACCACACGAATACGCACAAGATACAAATAGTTGATGCATGTACTTTACTGATTGTGACAGGAATTTAATATTAACTCTCGAGCTTTCATTTCGCGCAACGTTCAACACAAAGGACTGCCGTTATTACGAATTGTCCAAATGATATAGTATAGAGAACTAAGAAATATCTGCGACCGTAAAATTGGTAGAGCAGTGATGGAATAGGGTTTTCAATTTTCTATCGGTCTCTCAATTATTAACGAGCTTCTAAAACACGTATCAATGATGAACGTCGGCGAAATTTCACGCGCACGTTGATATATGTAATTTGGAATTTATTAATGCGCGATGAGCAGACGGCGGTCGGTATTTAATATTTAAGGGATTCCGGCTGCTACGGAGCCCCGTTCGACTCCTTAAAAACCGACCACGGGTCAAAGGAACATCGCGTATTCTTTCCACTTCGCGTCAGCCTTTCAATATCGGGCCGCAATAACAAGATACGAGAGATTTTTTGGTGGTTTTTATGTCAGCAACGGGGTAGGTACGCGGTTATATATATATATATCCGCGTAAACTTGTTCGAATATCGTTCCATATCGATCATTGTGGTGACACCAGCTTAACGCCGCTTAACTCTTTACATCATACTCGCCAAATTTACGCGCGTATCTTATTTTTCGAAGGATACGTGTTACGAAAGGATTATGTTGATTTTTTATTGGTTCGTATCGATATTTTTCTTTTCTATTTCTTTCTTACGAAAGATCAATCTCTTTTATTGGATATTTTTTTTTTAGAACAATTGTGTACGGATATCAAATTTCTTCTTTTTTTACAGAAATTGTGTATGGATTTTTTTTCTTTGTGGAGGAGGTTACTGTGAAAACGTATTACTTGAGAGTTTAAGAATGAAATATCTTATACTCTTGTACTTTGTTTACTTTTCTTTTATACCCGATTGCATCTCAACTCCCACGTATGAATCTGCACATTTGTGAAGTATGCTCACAGAGATTGGCGTTCCATCTCTGGAACACATTTTTGACGGTAATATAAAGGCAAATGAAAAATATCGACCTTACACGTACCTCTGGTTTTATACGGCATATCCTCCCCTCTTTTCTACACATACACACAAAACATGCATGTGTATGTGTATGTATATGAATATGGAATGCTCGAGAGATTTGGCTGCTGATTTCATATTCCACCTCATTCGTTCTTCTTTTTCTTCAACAATCTTCGCGCGCAATTTAAAGCTGTCGCTATAATAAGTGTTTTTTTTTTTTTTTTTTTTTTTTGCTAATGTGATTCAATATTTCATACAATAGTGGCTGAATTTTAACTTCAATTTTGTAAGAAATAATTAATTTTTCGTTATTATGCTTTTGTCGCGTAATTAAATTCTTGGCCTGTATAATATTTTGGTAAAAGTAGATATACTCTCAGCGTAAATACCCGAAAATGATATCTTTTTTTCAATTTACTTATATAAAAAATCCATTTCTTATTTGAAAACTTGAAAAGTACACGTAATATAATAGTTTTTAAAAAACAATTTATTTAAATCTGCGTATGTATACACATATATCTATATACATTTATATGTATATGTCGCTCTTGGTAGTTTCAATTTTTTACAAAAAACTAGTTTACGAAAATTCGACGCTTTATAAAATGGTTATTTTTAGAAGAAACCTGCAACACATACATGTATAATCTGGTTTAAAATTTCCATGGAAACGATCTCTGGTAATATAACACCTTCCATTTACCTCTACTTAAATATGCACGGAATCTTTTTATCATGCTTGTACTGCGTCAAAAAGTTTTATATGTCTCATTATAAATGTCTAATGATGTCTTGTATAAAAAAAAATCGATTTCTGTTAAATATATACATATATCTTTCGTTTGTACCACCTTACGATGTTGATAATAGCCGACGAAAAAATATAGAACGAGTGGTGGATAACGTGCGACGCGAAGGAAAAGTTTAATAACCGCTCTTAAACGACGCGCGACGTGGTTGTTACAAGAATAATTGACGCAAAACCGCCCTGCAATCGTCTTTGCGGATGGACGTCCTGTTATGATTTATGCTTTGTCGGAAACACGCCAGCGAACAACTCCGCGATGTTCGTGACGGTGTTACCGTCGCAATTTTACCGACCATTAATTCCATGTGTGATACATCCCTTCACATTTTACCACTTTATTAACACTTCAACTTTCGCGCCAAAGAATTTATATGAATGGTATAGCTGTATTTCTTTGGAAATTACTAGTGTATGAATGACAACTTTATTTTCCATTTAATTTGCATTTATATATCATTCGAGAAATGTCATTATAGTGAGTCACTAAGATTCTAATGAGACTTTAAATGTTGTGGATTCTAAAAACGTATACATATACATAGATATAATTTGCTGTGATATAGTCAAAGTTTTTGAAACATTATAAGTGCTCTATCGATTTAAACTTACGATGTTTTTTATGACTCTTACAAATTTATGACAAATTAAATATGCGCTTCCGAACTGTCCGATAAAATAGAATAAATTATTATGATACTCGATATTTTATTATGATACTTGATATTTTATTGTGATAGTCGTTAAAATCTCGATACTATATTTCGAAAAGATATTATTTATGACATGTTCATTGTGTTCTTTTTTTTTGTAAATATGCAAAATATAAAATTGGAAAAGCTTAAAATGCATTTTGCTGTCTAATATTTTATTTAATTATATATATAAATTAATTTTAAAATTAATTTAAATTAAATACAAATTAACATTCTATTTACTATATTTTTGAAAAATTAATTTAACGTAATGTGTGTGGAAAATTACTTAAATTTATATTATTTATCACTGAAAATAACCGAAAGAAGTACATTTTTGGAAGACATCAATTTTTTGAATTCCGCTTTTTCTATATTACACGTGATATAATGGAATAATTGAAACAGAAAGAGAAAGAAAGATAGAGAGTTAGAGATAGCGATGGAAAATCAAATAATACAATAATAATAATAACAACACATGTAGTAAATAATAAAATAATAACACGGTCTATTTTTTTACAGGGAATCGTCCAATAGAGACTCGCCCAAACGCTCCCAAGACAGCTGTTCACGGTAAGTTCGCAGCAGTTAATTTTTTGTTGTGCTGTTTGACTCATAAACCTGATTACCCAAATAACAATGAAAGCTTTTACGCCTCGCGTTTTGCGCAAGAAAATCCGCATTTATACGCAAATCTTAAATTATTAATTATGCTTATAAGTATAGAGGTAGAATATTTCTGCAAAATAAAAGCTCTCTTAATCTATCTAAGCAATAATAATAATAATGATACACCGGTAACAATTATATGCGAACAACAAATAGAGATTATTGTGTCGGATCCGGATCTGCATATAGTTATCGGATTTAAAGATTACTAATGTAAATTACGCGACGCGGAGACTAATTGATCATTAAACTGATTACGATAGGCAGCGGAGATACGCTGATTCTCAGGTAAGAACTGATGAATTTTATGAAGATCCGAGCGTAGCAACAATACGTCGACGGTTTTAATAAGCCAAGTTGCAGTAATAACCGGCATCAACCGGCGCCAATTAATATATCGTAACAATTCTGCCTTTCAGTCGATAAACAATACCGGGCGACGCGACGCGAAACTGTTGTGTTTATATGCACAACCGACTGATTACTGTATATATGAGTGTGACGCGTATATTAATTCCAGAGAGCCGTAATTAATTCGTCATTGATTGAAATGTGAAATTGCAATTCAATATCGGGATCCTCTCGAAAATTCTCGAATTCTCTTATTGTTTTACACGAGCTTATCGGAGAATTGATAAGCTCTCTCCTTTTCGAATTAAGTCGTTGTTTTAGAAAATATGTCTATAAATTATCTACTGCCGGGGGCATACTTTTTATCTGCAAATTCCATTATTTTAAAGTAGATTTTTCTACAAAAAAAAAGGGGGTTGAACTTTGCTTGAAAGTGAGTTTTACAAATGAAAATCAAACTTTAAAGATATACAGACATGTGGTAAAATTTTTTCATGTAGGTTCAAGTGGATTTTATTACTTTAGCAAATTTGAAGGTTAATAATTAAAGAGATATCAAATGAGAAAAGGTATAACAGGTACCTATATAAAAGGTAGGTTCAGAAATAAAAATAACGAGAAGATGAATTTTTCTCGATATTTTAATAAATAAAAAATCAAGAAATAATACCTAATTAAAATTATATATATCAAAGAATGCATAAATAACAAAAGATGATCTGTTATGGATTATTTTTTATATTCTAATGTGAGCGATCGTAAGGGTTAAAGATCGATTGGAATATATATAATCTTTTCTCGTCAATTGCATTTCTTTGACATCCCAAGGAGCGTTAAACCAGAAACTGCGAAATACACGGCAGCTTGGAGAATTCTGCGTATAATGACTCGTAAAATTGAATGTGGTGCACATCGTACGAGAATAATTGATAATAACTACGGAGTAACGAGGATGCAGCCTAGCCAACTGCCAATCATGGCTCGTTTTTCACTGACAATTCTCGTAAATCTATAGCAAACCTAAAAATGTCAATACTGAAATTTTTAAAAATATACGTTCAATATTTGCCCAAGAATTTTTTAATCAAAATTTTTACTATTCGATTTTTAATAAACTATTATTATTTAAAAGTTGAAGCAAATTCAGCAATTTTTGATTATGGAATAACTTATAATAAAAAAATATAGCTTGATGTATAAAAATAAATATATTGAAAGATTTATTACGTTTTTTTCGAAACAAATGTATGTGTATATCTATTAACATTTAACTCGCGAATTGAAAAACTGAATTTTTTTAATTCACGCTTATGCGGCATCATTAATAATCATCGATTCGATTTCACGTTTCATATTTTATATACAAACGTATACATAATATTTTTACATATTTTATTGTGAATTTCACACACATTTAGATATATATTTATTTATTGGAAATAAATTGAACGGGCGAGTTTTCACGAAGGGGTAGTCGAATAATGGAAGAGTTAAAGAGGCCGCGGGGGATGAGATGTACACTGCTGCAAAAGCAATGACCGGGGCTGACCTGAATCTACGAGTGGCGCGATGAAAAGGGGACGACGAAAGAGCTACGATCTACGGCACGAGGATGAGAGTGAAAATACATAAAATAGGCCGCGGGAGACCATTCTCTCTATACATGTGCGTATACGGACGTCCTCGTATCTCTATGAAGATCATAGCACACAATATCCGATCGCGCATCGGACATCAGAGAAATTGCAACTGCGATCTTTGTTGTTCAATATATATACATATATAAATACTTGAGTGCTCGCGTCGCGGTACGAATAAAAGTACGAATTTACTCGTGAATTTGTGGGGAAATTTCATTTCTTACAATTTCAAATAAATTATACACATATGTGTACATATATATATATCTTTATATGGATCTTATTTTGTAAGAATAGAATATTATAGAGCAATAGGTTTTTTTCTATTTAAATTGCGCGTTACAAAGTTTTATGAAAGCCTTTTTATTTTTAAATATAAATTGAAACAATTCGAAAATAAATTCTTTAATTTTGCTAGGAATAAATAAACGGCTGGAGGAAACAATGTGTCGAATAAAAGGTAAACATACATATATTATAAATCTTGCATAAATCCTGGGAAAACAAAGCAGAGTTTGTTTTTAATTTAAGCGCAGGCGAGTCTCGGAGATAAAACGTAAAACGGGATAAATCATGTTAAAGATTCATATCTCCGCGGCAGATGATTATTAATATTTAATGTCGCCCACCTGCGTCTCTACCTATCTTTCTATAGCGCAATGGCGCAACTAACGTCACCTCGTAGAAGATATCGCGTAAGGTATAGAAGGAGGAAGCAAAAACGAAAAAAAAAGAAAAAAATAAAGACAAAAATATAATTTGCTGGCGCAATCGAGATCGTTAACAAAGGTAAAAGTTGAAGGATGCTACCAGTGTTGGGTAGTATCTAGATACATTTTGTGTACCTAAGTCTATATCTGCGATATATTCGAATTGAAGTATCTATATCTAAATACAAAAGATGCGGTATCTGAATTGCTTCTTTCAGATACATTTTTACATATTTTTTTGAATAGCCTAATTCTTTAAATTTTGAAAAAGCTGCAAGTTATCAACATATCGTCATCAACACCGGTTGAACGATTATTATTAAACATAAATTTTTGAGGAATTTTTCACGTGTTAAGACTAACGAATAAAGTCGTAATATAAACAAAAATATGAATAAAGATAAAAGAATTATTCAGTACATTTTATGCATATTACCATTATTATGATAAAATAAAATTTAAAAGTATCTGATATGAGAAGTATCTCAATATCTGTATCTATATATTTTTGTACACGTATATCTATGTTTCTGTATCGAGATACATTTTAAATGTACCCATCACTGGATGCTACAAATCGATTGTAATGTAAGGGCGTACTCGAGCGTTAGTTTACGTCATTACTGATACAGCACGTCGGAAGCTTCGAAGATCTCGAAGACATCCGGTTGCTGCAGAAATTCCGGACAGTCGCGGCAAATTAGTTCCGTTCGAAATCGATGTCGTAATCCTTGGTCATAGAAAGAACCGTACTCGTATAAGGCTTCCGGTATACCGTTCCTTCGAGAATTCTTACGAACGTGAGAGCTTTCGATGCCGCTTGATCTAACACTTACCGTTATACGTGATTCCGATTTTTAAACAAAACATCGTCCGCGATCTAAATCAAAGTGCAGAGCGTATTACATCTCTCTCGGGTTTTCTGATGGAATAAAGGTGAATGAAAATACAGTTCATTTTATCAAGTAAAGTATAAAACATATAATAGTTATAATAATAAGAAAAGTTTTAAAATTGCAAAAAAATATATTCAACACGCAGTGCACATACACACACAAATCCTTTTATAATGCTGAAAGGAACAAGTATTATAGTTCCAGGATTCAAGTTTTTAATCTTCTTTTAGTTTGACCGTAGAACTTTTTCATTCAGGTATGCTTACAGAAAGGTAAAAAGGTTCTGGCCTGGTTGCATCCGCAATACATGATGATTCAAACAAGAAATTAATGAGCTAGTTTTCGATAACTTTTTCTCCTTCTATTTTTAATAATTCTCTGATCGCGTTCGATATATGAAATATTAAAATTATTTGAATTCTATGAGTATAACTGAAGCATTAACGTTTTTAATTATTTAGTGATTTCAAATGGATAATATTTAAAATTAAAATTTATTTTTATTAAATTTTTCAAATTCTTTAAAAGGACATCAAATCGAATCAAAAAGCTGTTAATATAAAATATACACGAACATAATGAATCAAATATATAAATATATCAAATTAAAATTAGGATACATTTTTTTTAATATTTTTATTGCTATTACTGAAAAAATTATTACTGGTATCAAAAAAAAAAAAAAATAATAATTTTTATTATAAGTCTATTTAACATTGAATAATATCCGATTATTGAATTTAAATTATTGACAATTAAAAGATTATCGATAATTAATTGGTAATTAAATTTCCAGCATTGCGGGGTTTACAATAATATGTAAATGTAATACCGGTATAGAATTACCAGAGAAATTCAATATTCTCATTCTCCGAAACATACAAACATCAATATTCATCAAAATTGTTTTTATAACAATTATACATTCTTTTTCAATCGTCCTGATTTCCCGAAACTCTTCGTATTGCTCGTGATGCTGCTTTATCGAATATTCTTATCGTCGTGAAGATGAGACTCGTACCGCTTCGTTAAACGTGCGAGTTAAAGCGACGATTCAGTGCATGGTTGGCTGACTGTGTCCCTCCTATTTGCGGAAAATCGAGCCGTTTAGGTCTACATTTCGTCGGAAATTTCCACCGGTGAAGCCGCGTAATAGCTTTCGGTAGTTCGAACGTCTACACAGAGGTAATTTGTTTCGGGTGATGAAGAAGAGGAAGAGAGAGAGAGAGAGAGAGAGAGAGCCATTCGTTCGTTTAGTTAGCCATTCGTTTCTGGATGAATTTTATTGAAACTTTATGAACGATCGA